AGTGCAGGTATTAGTTACTCGCACTCCAGAGCATGCCCATTGATTGGCTCATTTTTGCTGGGGTTTACTTATTGTGACGGAAGAGAAAGGAAAAGCGAAAGAAATATCATATTCAGATGCTAGTTCATTGGTTACTTTTCCTGGGGTTTCATATTTTGACAACAGGGGACGTGTTTTTATGTTTTGACTATGATACCCAAAACGAAAGAAATCAAAACACTCGGCAATCTTGATTTTAATACAAAATTAGACGAATTTAAACAGAACTAAATTTCAAAATTGATGCTGTGACGTCTATGGTGAGTTGACGTCAAAAAGGAGAACGCGCGACGTTACGCCCGGCGCCAAAATCCGTTTAAAAATTTAACTTTAAAATCACTAAAAAGCATGAATAAAAAGAAAATTTATCACACAACCCGTGCTTTTTTCGACTCCGTAAATTATATGGTATTGCACCGGTCATGCATATATTTTGACGTGGACGTAATTAGTGTTATTCAAACATAGTGTAAAAAACGCGCTAAATGTTAGCGTTATACTACAGGCGCGTCCAATGAAAAAATGGATCTTATTTTTCACTTTAAATTGGTCTTTATTTTGGTATATGTGATAATAGAATATTAAATTCGTGTAAGTTCATTAACTTAATTTATTTGCACTCGTTGAATTACATAATATTATGCGCGCCAGAGCTCGGCATAATATAATTCTATTCAACTCGTGCAATAAATTCAGTATTGAACTTACACTCATTCCATTGTCCTCTATGTAATTATTTTGCAGATAAAAGTTACAGTAAAGAAAATACTTAAAAAGAAGGATTTCCTGGAAAAAAATAGTATGCCAGATAGACAATTTTGTATTTTCTGATTATTTTATGCCCCCGCAAAAGGAACCATATAGCGTTTCACTTGTCCGTCTGTCCGTACGTCTGTCCGTCCGTCTGTCCGTCCGTCCCGAAATCTTGTGAACGCAACTCCTCTTAAACCGGATGGCAGAGTTTGCTTAAACTTCCCGGGATGAACAACCTTAATGTGCTTTGTTGATTTTTTCACTATATACTATATAGAAATTTTGTGAACGCAATTCCTATTAAACCGGATGGCAGATTTTGCTTAAACTTCCAGGGATGAACAACCTTAATGTGTAAATGGCTGTAAAGGAAGGAATTTTTGCTGCGACCAAATTTAACAGAATTATTGCCCTTTGTTGATTTTTAGTTTTCAACTTGTGGCACATGTAGTTCAAAAAAATATTTGACCTAGAGTCATAAGATTGACGGGTACGTTACGATACCGAAATCAACTTGATTTCGGTAAAGTTACCGAAATCAACTTTTCATTACCGAAATCAACTCGTAAAAACCAACCTAGTTAAAATACTGCTATTATTTCTTCATTATTTGATGAAAATTAGTGAAATAGACTTTCAGTTAAAAAATTTATTGATAATATTTTATTTTAATGATGTTATTAACAAAAATGTAATTATTGAGTTACTTCCCTTTGTTCTAAACAACCCGTTATGTGTTTAGCATTACCGAAATCAGCTGTGAAGTTTAAATTATGTATATAAAATACATGTATAATACATATATAGTGATTATTTAAGATAATTTATGTTTTTGAAATTAAAGAAAAAATATAAAGATAAATTAATTAATAAACAAATAACTAAATAAATAACTAAATAAATACTAAACGTGCTCTGTCACTGATGCTTATATTCATAGACAAGGAAACAACAATAAGATAACTGTTACTCCGGCTTATAAGAACTTGCCGATATTTATAACGAACAGAATTAACATATCTTCTATTAATAGAATATGGAACATGAATATGAAAAAGTGATATATATTCATTTTACACGGTACAATATTAATGAACGAAGTAAGATTTTTTTCTCTAACCTATGAAATGAACTTTCGAACAGGGTTTGACTTACTTTAAGTCATTATGCAATAAAATATTTTGCAGGTTTAGAGATATTTGGTACACAAATTATGTATGTAAAGCAATCATTTATTACAAGACATTAGCACAAGCATGTTATATATCTGCACGTGATTATCGTGCATAACAATTTTCTAATCAAATCGTATTTTTAAAAAGCTATGATCGGACTATGATGGAAAAATACAATACTCTGTAATATGAGTTAAATCTAATTATAAATTTTGTACATGTTTATGTTTTATGAGTTTGAATACAGATACTGTATATAATTCGACTGTTCTAAAAAAATTCCATAAACATTGTATAATGTATCAGGCAGTAAAATTGGAAATTGGAAAGTTTGGGTCTTTCTTTTATTGAACAGTTAAACTATATATTAACAAATCGCTAACATATGTTATGGGGACTCTTTATAATAATGTTTTTTTTATATTTTAGTCATTTATTTAAATGTTTGTTACGAAATAAATCGATGGTTCATTATAATCTTTAATCTTTAACATACATTGCATGTCAACTGTACCTCCTGTCTTAATTACTTCACACCTTACTTAATACAGTAATACACAACATGTCATATCGTACAAGTTACAACATTACATAATTGAAATTTGTCAGTTTAAAGTGTTCCATTTTTTACATCATATAAATATATATATATATATTATATATATATATATAATGATCAGTCATTCCATAAATTTATGCTGTTTACAGATACGAAATTTAAAATGATTATATAGAGGATATTTGTTTAGTTCAGCTCAGTATTTATATATATAAGATCGGAATATATTTCACCGAGCGAGCACCAAAAGGTATATATTTCACGAGTGGCGCAGCCACGAGTGAATATGAACTTTTGGTTTCACAAGGTGAAATATATTTCGATCTTAATTTACACACTAAACTAAATTTTTTTTTATATTATATGCAAAGAAACGTTTTAAAAAGACATTAAACCTAATACTAAATGAAAAGCGCGCCAAATAATAATACAACGTGACGTCATTTACGACGTCACATCATTAAGTTGGTACCCAGTTCTGTGCACGCTGGTATTTCACTGAAACAACGTAAGGGGCTTAAATTCAAAACAGTGAAATTATCAAAGTGGTAATTTCACTGTTTCAAACAGTGAAATTACCAGTTTTTATATCACTGATATATTTCTATAAACCACCGAAAAGCATGTAATAAAAATCGATCAACATAAAATCATGAGTTAACAACTTTTTCAATAAGTAGAATATGTAGTTATTAATATATTATAAAGTATCCGGGACATCAAAAAAAATCATACATTTTTGGAACAACTGATATGCAATTTGGTAATAATAATATCAAAGCATCTTGTCTCATATACCGAAATGTTTTCTACGGAAACGTATAGCGACCACCCCTACATGTTAGTTAAAACAGACCTTTTGACAATTTATTTAATATAAAATTATATTTTTACCAACTTATTAGATCTGAAATATTTATACTATAAAACTATAAAAAAAGTATTTCTAAAGTTTCCATGCGCCGATGTATATCAAAGGATTGCGGTTAACGAGTATGTAATGTCAACTAGCACCTCCATTGTCCGAGCACGTGTATGTTTGCTCTTTATAGTAAAGGTGTTATGGTTACATGATTAATGGCAACCACTACGTCTTTTTATTTTAATCAAATCATAATCATTGGATTTAAATTAAATATCAACTATTTTTATAGTGATCTAAATTAGGCGGATAACTTCAAACACAGTTTTGTTTAATTTTGTATTTCGAAATCATTAAGAAACATCAAAGACATGATACGCTGCTATGTTATCTGACTAAAGGGAAAATTTAAACATTGAAAATAAGTGATATGAATTCAAAGTTTAAAACTCACTCAAGTAACTTTTCTCATAGACTTCTGAAATTCATGCAAATTATTTAGGGGTTATTCTCATCTTTGAAATGAAATCTGATTTAATTTCGGTAATGCAACACATTAATAACAAGGGAAGTAATCATGATATAATATACATATCCGTCTATAACATCATCATTTTTTATAATTAAATATTATTTTCCTTTGTTTATGGTTCAGTTTGAATGATTTTATATTAATTAATTAAACAAGATCTATGAAAATGTTTATTTTAACTTTTACAAGCCGATTTCGGTATGGTAACATATATTACGGTTCGTGACAATCAGGGAAGTAATCTTGATATTCATATATTTAATTGTTTCTAATTTCATAATTATAAATTAGTTCGAACTGATTTTTTGCATGAAAGTCAAACTAAACCAATTGTAATAGATTATAATGAAAAAAATATAATAAAACGCTTAATTGGGATTTTACAAGTCGATTTCGGTATTGTAACATATATTTCGGTTCGTGACAAATCAGGGAATAATCTTGATATTTAGTTATTAGATTCTAATTTCATAATTATCAATTATTTTAAACTGAATTTTTGCATGTAAGTCAAACTTAACCTATTGTAATGTATTATAATGAACTTTTTTTAATAAAACGCTTAATTGTGATTTTATAAGTTGATTTCGGTAATGAAAAGTTGATTTCGGTAACTTTACCGAAATCAAGTTGATTTCGGTATCGTAACGTACCGAAGATTGACAGAGCAGTGGCGTGTGAGGCATCCGTGTCCTATGGACACATTTCTAGTTTTTTCAAGTTTGCAACAAGGTAATAAGTTAACATAAACAGTCCCCCCTGGGATAAACACTTTAAAACATTTTTTGCAGAGTGACAGTATTTTATAAACTTTGTCGTCACTGACGATGAATTCCTATAAAAGTAAAACTTGTACCGTGATATCATTGAACCCCGCGCTAAATATCTAATTAATTTCCCGTCGTTCTTCTTTAATATAATCTTCTTAATTACTCCCATAACAACTTCACATCCTGGCGCATTTTCCTTCTTTATTGCTATGTCGTAAGCAGTTTCCCGAATATTTTCTATCGTCTCCTAATTCGTCAGTATCTCGACCCTTTCCGGACCGGTGTAAGTGTAAACAACGTGATGATCCGTGACGAAACCAAATCATGCTGTTGTCATATAAAATTATCATATTAAGATATTGTGAAACGTGAACATTTAAAAATCGGAAAAAAAGGTAAAAAAAAGTCTAGTTAGTTTACAGTATTTGTTTACGTACAATATTACATGTACTTTACATGACAACCAGAGCATGTATCCGAAATGTTGTGCATCCGAAATTCAAATCACATTCTTGTGACATTGGCGATTCTTTCAGTATAGATCTATACATAGGGGTGTCACGTTTATCTGTTTATTGATACGGTCGGTTTTTAGCTGAAAATCAGTTTGAAAATTCAATAACCGATCACCGAGGTTAGTCGAAAAGTAAATATTACCAGTACAGTGCATTATCAGATAGTGTTTTATAACAAGATAAGACATTTTTGTATTTTAGTTTTACTCAGCAAATTATGTCACCAAAATGTATGGGTCAAACACCATTAAAATCAATTTTACTTGATATCTGAAACAAAATCATCTCGTCATAATCAAGTGTGATTGCGCCAACGTACAATGTAGATGTAGACAATACTACCAACTGAAACTTGAAATATAGAAACTTTAGATATTTAGAAGCTATCCATTTCAGTGAATGACAGAATATTCTCTTCCAAACCGTTTCCTCCCCTGACGGTTCTCTCCCAAATTTGAAATATGCAGACAATTCTCCCCCAATTTTTATTTGCAAGTTATCATTTTAGTTTTTACTTAATCTAATAATATGAAATTAGGCAAAGCCTATGAACGGGGAAGTCGGTAAAAAATCCTTTCATTTTTCCGTTTTAAAGGTGTCATTCGGTATTATATGTACCCACTTCCGTTTTCACTCGGAACACTCGACGATTATTATTAATCCTAAAAAGTGAGATTTGTTCCGTAATCGGAATACACCGCCTTTTATAATTGAGTTACATTGTAAATGGCGGCGCCTAGCTAGAACTGACACTGAAAATTTCATTGATAGGTAAATATATATTTTTTAATTTTTTTTAATTTAAATTTTCTTTTAAATATACACGTGTAGTCTATAGCCGGGCAAGCCAAAGCCCTGGCCCGCTTTGCGGGCCCGGACATTGACTTCCCCGTAATATTTCTTGATGATTTTAAAAGAATGTATTTGATATTAAGTAAAGTGTTTATTTGATTCTGAAAAGTGTTTGTAAATTTAACACCTTTTCAGATATTTTAATCCTATTAATATACATACACCTGTCATTATGTGAAGGTCTTATGATATTCATTAATTTGTTAAAATAGCGAATTAGGTGGTAACAGGTATGTTTTAGAAAATAAATACATACTTCCCAAAATATGTCGGTCCGACGGACATGTCCGATAAATTTTGATCAGGTCCGACAATTTTTTATTCCGGATCGGTCAGACTGTCCGGCTTTTATCCAAGCAGCATGTATACAAAATGGCGTCGCTAAAGGTGCCAAACCTGGGAAAAAACGAAAATCTACGTCAGAAGAGTGCGCAAAACAGCAATAAAAGGATGAAAAGTATAGACCTGAGACAAAATTTCATGAAAAATGGAAGCAGAACCATGAATCATTGGTGTATGAAGGGGAGAAAATGAAAATGCGCTGTACGGATAGTGCCGATTTTTACGGCGAAAAAATAAAAGACAAAAAGTGTCTTAGGAATACAAACACAAGTTTTTCTTTGATTTTGATCAATTTTATTTGGTACAACAGATTTTGTTTCGGTCCGTCAGATTTTCATGGTTTGTCAGACCGAATGTCTGACAGTTTTTTCAACTTTCGGGAAGTCTGTAAATAAGCAACAACTGGTATGCAATCACATAAATGAAATAAAATAAATTCACATTTACTTTAAAATAAAAAATTGATTAAAGAACAAATAGTCATATTAACATGAAACAATATATATTACCAAATAACTAATTTAATTATTTGTTTATCAACACCTTTTCACACCTTGATTTTTTAATAATGAAGTAATAAACACCTTAATTATCTCTGACAGCAAACTTAATGCACATGTGTATTGAACTCCTTTCTTCATTATACAAAAGTATGAAATTTAGCAATTTAAATTTATAAATCATGTTTTAGCTTGACTATATGAGAGCTTTTGTAGTCGCCCCGGTGTTGGCATCCGCGTCTGCATATGTTAAAGTTTTTGTGTCGCCTTGAAAAAGGTGACATATAGGGGTTACTTATGTCGGCGGCATCATTGTCAGGGTCGTTGTCGGCGTCGGGGTCCCCTTCAGCTTGTCCGGAGCATAAGTCAGCATAAGTCAGTCAATATAAGTTGGATTGACTTCAAACTTGGTATGCATGCTTCTTATAATGACCCGAAGTGCAGTGCATAAAAACCGGTACTCTGCACTTCCAATTTTTTGAGTTATTGCTCTTTGTTAATTTTCATACTTTATTTTTGTCCGGACCATTTCTCTTAAAGTATAAAAGCTATGGACTTGAAACTTCATAGGATGATAGATCTCATTAAGAAGAAGTGCAGTGCACAAGAAGTGGTACTTTGCATTTTTTATTTTCTGAGTTATTGCCCTTTGTTAATTTTCATACTTTATTTTTGTCCCAGCCATTTCTCCTAAAGTATAAAAGCTATGGACTTGAAACTTCATAGGATGATAGATCTCATTAAGAAGAAGTGCAGTGCACAAGAAGTGGTACTCTGCATTTCTTATTTTTTGAGTTATTGCCCTTTGTTTATTTTCATACTTTATTTTTGTCCAGGCCATTTCTCAATAATTATAAAAGCTTTAGACTTGAAACTTAATAGGATGATAGATCTTATTGATAAGAAGTGCAGTGCACAGAAACTGCTGCTCTGCATTTCTTTCAAACAAAATACAAACATTTCCAGAGGCCAAACAATTCAAAATCAAATGAATATTATACCCCATAAAATATTCATATCTAATGCATAGCATACCCCATATACAAGTAACCTCATTTTCATGTCCAAAGTCCAAAATATCTTTATCAAAGGCATTTTGTACATAATGGCCTCATTTTCAAATTCATATCATTATTTCATATATCACTTTAAGTAGCAAAGGTCTGTCAAAAACTCTAAAAGTATGAAATAAAGAGGTTATTATACATTGTTGAGAACAATATTGATTCTATTAGACTTGCACAAAAAAACTATATCAGACTCTGCTAGAGCCTCGTTCAATAGAGGTTTGACAGCTATATACTCATGAAATAAAATTCATTTTTGTACTCAACAATGTACATTTTGTATAATAACCTCATAGTACATGTAATTGTGCTGAAGTATACCATTTATGCTATTATTTAGTATTATGGTGTGTTATTAAACAAAGACAGCCATGATCATTAAATTTGAAAAGTTCAGGTTTTTTTGTGCATGTATTTTCAAATAGAATTAAACAATTTAAACTATTTGCATGTCAAAGGGATTTTGAACACATTCCTTTGTACAAATATGAAAATGTGATATTAGATAATTTTTTTTACCATTACCACATTGAGGCCATCCTTAAAAAAATGTTTGTTTGCTGTAACGCGACCGACTCACAAAATTTGCCCCTACTCAAAAGTTTTTTTCATGGTCTGGATAAAAAAATAAATTTTTTTAATCTGAAAATTATGCCTTGTGCTTTGTTTTTGTTCTTTTAAAGGCTAATAGAAGAAATGAAATGTAGGTATTATTTAATTATCCCCCGCCGATGGAATCGGGAGGGGGATATAGTTTTGGCGTTGTCCGTCCGTCCTTCCGTCCGTCCGTCCGTCCATCCGTCCGTCCGAATTTCGTTTCCGGAGTAGTTCTCTGCAACTAATGGCTGGAATTCAACGAAACTTTATGGGAATGTTGATCAGCATGTGAAGTTGTGCACCTGGGTATTTTCGTCTGGATATTTTTAGTATTTTTAGAGTTATTGCCCTTGACTTAGTAAAACGTCCCAATTTCGTTTCCGGAGTAGTTCTCTGCAACTTATGGCTGGAATTCAACGAAACTTTATGGGAATGTTGATCAGCATGTGAAGTTGTGCACCTGGGTATTTTCGTCTGGATATTTTTAGTATTTTTAGAGTTATTGCCCTTGACTTAGTAAAACGTCCCAATTTCGTTTCCGGAGTAGTTCTCTGCAACTAATGGCTGGAATTCAACGAAACTTTATGGGAATGTTCATCAGCATGTGAAGTTGTGCACCTGGGTATTTTCTTCTGGATATTTTTAGTATTTTTAGAGTTATTGCCCTTGACTTAGTAAAATTTTGTAATTTTCAACTTGTGTCGCATGTAACTCAAAAAGTATTTGACCTAAAGTCATGAAACTTTACAGGAATGTTGATCAGTATGTGTAGTTGTGTACCTGGGTATTTTCATCTGGATATTTTTAGCATTTTTAGAGTTATTGCCCTTGACTTAGTAAAATTTTGTAATTTTCAACTTGTGTCGCATGTAACTCAAAAAGTGTTTGACCTAGAGTCATGAAACTTTACAGGAATGTTGATCAGTATGTGTAGTTGTGCACCTGGGTATTTTCGTCCGGATATTTTTACTATTTTTTAGAGTTATTGCCCTTGACTTAGTAAAATTTTGCAATTTTCAACTTGTGTCACATGTAACTCAAAAAGTATTTGACCTAAAGTCATGGATTTTTACAGGAATGTTGATCAGCATGTTGAGTTGTGCACCTGTTTATTTTCGTGGGGATTTATTAAGTATTTCTAGAGTTATTGCCCTTGACTTAGAAAATGTTTGCAATTTTTCAACATGTGTCGCATGTAACTCAAAAAGGATTTGACATAGAGTCATTTAACCTTATTGGAAAGTTGCTCAGCATATTTAGTTTGTTCCTGGGGTTTCGCTTGTGGATTTATCCAGTATTTGTAGAGTTATTTCCCTTGACTTAGTAAAAACTGTTTCATTATGTTGTTATTTGATCCTTGAGTGCTTGAGTTAGAATCAACCAACTTTACAGGAATAATGATCAACATCACTAAATTACGAATAATGAAGTCTGGAGATTAAGATGTTTTTACATCTAGGTGAGCTATTATGATCCCCCACCGTCCGTCGTCATGCGTCGTCAGCAATTTCTTTTAAACAAC